GTTCTATCGTCCAAGTAATTGCACACTCGTGTATATGAATTCCGTATAGTGTGAATATGCAAGGGCATAACGTATCAACTGAGAAATGTAAACACCATACGATGGGGCAAAGTGTACGTTACTGTTAAGAAATGGGAAATTGATAATTTGGAAGTTAAAAATCATCCTGTTTGTCATAGATTTTATTATAAAGTCGTCCATCTGTGTCACTTTTGAGGAAAAGATATGAAGTATTCTCATAGTATCAGTAGTGTCCTTAATTTCAAGTTCACTGGGGTATATAAAAAGTACTGACTGACATATGGGTAATTAAGTGATAGAACATCATGAATATACCTTAAAGTAAAAGTAAGGAATTTCGCAAGGTGTTTTTTCTTTCTTTCTGTCTATTAGAAGGTTCCTAATGAATGCTGCTTCATACTAGTTCAAAAGCAAATCGGCTAGTATGGATGCAAAATTAGTACCCATTGGAATACCGACTGTCTGTCGAAATATCAATCCTTATAACTCAACAAATGTATTGTCGATCAAAAGGTCCAGCATTTTGATAATATCATCTTCTGTGTATTTTCCGATAGAATCAGTGTGGTTTTTCACAAAATAAGAATTATTATTACCCAAAACAAGAAATTTATATCTACGATTCCCATTTTATTAGAAAACGCTCTGTTTAATGAGATGGTAAAATCGATCTTTCAAATTGAATTGAGCATGGGGAATAGAAGTGTAATGCGTAGAAAAATAAATAAAAAGTCTTAATGTTGCTGCAAAATTCCAGAGTTTGTGATCTAAGATTATTCAGTAGATCTATAGAATATTTAAGAATCCACATCTGATTGACACCACTAGTTAAATGTAACTCATCACAATATTTTTGAAGGCCATCTTTTATTGTAGAAAAAATAGAAGTCAGCACTTTAGAACGATGTTTAGTCGACCAGCAAGATAAGATGATATGTCGTTCTGTATAGTGTGAAGTTTTGGTATCCAGTATAATGACAGTAGAATTATTTCGTTTTCTTTGATGTTGATACTCAAAAAGTACAGATTTGTGATTTTGTAAAATTTCATCCTTTGTTAATGATGTTAAAGAATATGTAGGAAAACCAGTTTTGCTGTTTATTCCAAACTCTTTTGTGCGACATTCCAAGTATTGGTTTTGACATATTAGCCCAATATTTTTGAAGGCTTTATCTGCTGAAACAACGACATGATTTATTAGAAATTATTTAAGATTGACCTTTTATGAATTTTGAAATTAATTAGAAATATGAATTTGGCTATTTGTATGCCCTTTTTTGTTTACAGCTTTTAAACGTTTTGGGTCCTTATACATTGTTGGCTTTTAAACATTCGGCTTTGAGCGTTCTTGACGAAGGTAAATCAACAAACCCGCTTTGGACGCATGAAATTTATATCGTTTTGTTTTCATTTTGTCATGCAAAGAGAATAAAGCATCCACAACCTTCTTAAATTGGTTAGACACCCTAGTGCTCATTCGTTTCTAAATGCATGATCAAATAGCTTTGATCCATTCAGATTAAGTGTCCAGTTCCGGTTCATCTGGCTCGGAATTTTAAGCAATGACATACAATACAAGAGTTTAACAGAAAAAGTAGTCAAGTAAATTTCAATAATAAATTATCGTTATGCCATGGAGGCAGCAAAGACTGCTGATGAACATGGGAGCTTAGAAAACGAACAAGAGGCTTTCAGAGTAACAGCAAACCAGTTTTTTTTTACATTCGTTTGTGTCCTAGCATTTTTCAATATCACAAGGATATTAACTCCCGGATGGTACAATTGACAATCATCAATATTGAACTTGACCTCCATTGTCACCAGTAAAAACATATTAAAATTTGTAAAGCTTCGGTTGAACAGTTCATGAGTAAATACAAGAAAACTGTTTGACAACGGCCATCCTGATTGCCCGCCCGCAGTACGTCACTAAATCAATAACCGATTTTTCTTTTGGAAATCCGACTAAAAAACATTGGTAGAATATTGCGTATAGTATCTGAGAAACACACAATACCATCAAAACTAATCATTGAACAATGAAATCAGGTCAATGTCAAATGAAACGTATTAGCAGATATACACACCTTACTCTCATTCGCAAAATCCGAGAAAAAGACTGAAAGCGAGGTCAAGGAAAAATGTCACCTCCTAGACTTACATGCATACCATCAACTATCAATACACGAAAAAAAAATTTCTTTACACACCAAATAGTGTCTGAATATAGTACTGGTATCTGAAAAGCAAACCAAACAACAAAAACTTAATATTGACCAATAAACCATGTAATGATATGAAGAAACCTGTCAGACAGAAATGGATCCTTAACAATAATATCATATTCAAAATATAGTTTGCCTATTGATTATAGTATTATTTAAGAAAATGACATACTCATAAAAACTTAACATTGGGTGATGAACCATGAACATATCAACCAGAGACAAATTCACAAACAAAACATTGTTAGAATATTGCTTATAGTACCTGAAAAACACACTATACCACAAATCAAAACTAATCATTGAACAATGAACAATGAAATATAGTGACCGCATTACTGATAGTATCAGAGATATAGGCAAAACTACAAAAACTAAACTTCGAACAAAGAACCAAGAGCATGAGAACACAAACATATGAATTCTGACAGACAGACATTCATATCTTATAAGCATTCCAATAACCAAATATAGTAGACCTATAAAGTATAGAATCTGAGAAAATGACAAAACTGAAAAACATAAGATTGGCTACTGAACGATGAAAATAACCTAACAAGTAGTCCATACACCAAATTTAGTAGACCCATTGTTTATAGTACCTCAGAAACGTTTAATCACGTAAACTTTACCTTGATTCATTGATCCATACAATCATAATGTGAGTATTCTTAACAAGACAACATTGAGATGGGAGCCATCTCTGTGGGCCCCGCTGTAAATAACGTGTGGTAAACAAATTGTATCTTTACCATAGGACATGCATGGGGTTGTCAACTGAAATAAAAGTTTTTAACATTGACCTTTGACCAGAAATTTGGACATACATTACATGCATTATGACACACTCCATGACGTTCGTTAATATACATGTCAAGCATAAACTTTAAAATCATAACGGTTCTCAAGATATAGAGCAGACACGATCTTTACCATAGGACATAGGGTTGTCAATTGAAATCAGTTTTTAACCTTGACCTACATGTATGACCAAGGAAGTTGTACATACATTATAACAAACCCTCTGGTGTTGGTTAATATATATGTCAAGTATAAACTTTGAAATCACAACGGTTCTCAAGATATAGAACGGACACGATATTTACCATAGGACATGGTGTTGACAACTGACTCCAGTTTTTGACCTTGAGCTTTGACCTAAGAAGTTGTACAAACATTACGACACAACCTCTGGTGTTGGTTTATATACATGTCAAGTATAAAGTATGAAATTTTAACGGTGTTTTCGAGATAAACAGCGGACACAATTTGTTACAGACAAACAGACAGATAACTAAAGGGCTACCCGACACTAGGCGTGGCCCTTATTACAAAACACTATAAGTTTTTCATCAAACAGTCAATGAACCTTGATAATTAGGTTAACGAAAATGAACATAGTACAGACGGAAACTTTGTAACATAAGGTATCTGAATAAAAGGTATGAAACATCCAGGTATTCTACCTTCTGAAATGAAGCTTCATACCAATAGTTTACACTGTCGCCACTGCTGGATTATCATCACTCTCATTCTGCAAATTTCATGGCTGATGAATAAAACATCAAGATTACCTCTGGTAAGATGGATCCTGATGGTGAGTTATCAACGTCTTACAATAATTTCATACATTAGATATAATTGACCTTTTCCTTAAAGTATTTGTGATAGAAACTAGAAAACAAATTTGCCTTATCTGACAGCATATGCATAGTGCAAAGAGTTTATATACCAAATATAGTTACCACAAACACATAATAAGTGAGATATTCAAGAGACAACAATATGTAATTCTTTTTAAACAATTGCTGAACCATGAAGATAAGGACAATAGACATATGAGAGACTGACACTTCGTAACATAAGTTATTGGCATATTAGATATGACACATCTTTATCTTCTAGCGTATGCAATCTAAAGCTTTTTACAAATGGTTTAAGCCATCGTCTCCACCGTCTCCTGATAAGCATCTATATGACTTGCATTCAGAAATTTCAACTTCATTTTAAACATAGACCTAAGGATCATCCATAAATTCATACCTTTCTATCTCTGATTTAAAATCTTACAGACACATGGCTGAATTGAATAAGAGAACAGTTTCTAAAAAAGGAAAATACTTTATCATTCTGAGAGAAGAAAGACTTGAAAAACAATGTCAGGTTTCTGATAACGAAAAGCATTGCTAATGTTAGTATTCATACTAGCATGAAACAGATTTTAAAGTAGAATATATCTACTTAATTAAAATGTTTCTCTAAAGAAGAAAAAAAAACTTAAAACTAAACCCACCAATGTCTATTTAAGTTTCGAAAATAAGCAAAATGACAAAACTAGGAAAAGTTGGTAACTAAAAGGCAAAAACTATAAAAAGACGTTTGAACATACCTGTCCTAATGAACGGTTGGTAGATATTTTTATTCTGCAAGTTTTGCCTTTCAGGTTTTTTTTATTTAAAACATCTTTCAAAATATAAAACACACCTTGAATTTTACCGATATAGTCTATGCTTAGCCTTGGCAGCCATGTTGATTGGCAGACAGAATTATTCAACACATTTGTTTAATAAGGCACAATAAGGATGATGATATGGTGAAGTTTGGTTTCAATTGGCCAAGTTCTTTCACAGGAGAAGATTTTTGTGAAAGCTAACGGATGACTGACGACGAAAGGATTACTACGACTGCAGATGACCAGAAAATTCCTTTGTGCAAGGTGATCGAAAAAGGCATTTATAATTTTGAAGACAAAGATAATTTATAATTTTTTTATTATTTCATTTAGTAATCTTCCATATAACAATGTATTTATCTACTAATCTATAAATATCCACATCATTTCAATCATTTTGCTTTACAGTGTGAACTCATATTTCTCTGTACTTGTATATAATTTTTTAAAGTCATACAAACGCACTTTACAAACAAATCATAAAATAAATTATTAATTATAAAAACAACAAGTTTCATCTAATGTAGTCTTTGTGCCTGCATGCTCATTGCAAATATCTGTTCAGTTATCATGCAAAATGACTTAAAATGACATAAGCATCTTTGTAGACGAAATGCACGTCTGGCGCAAATACAACATTTCTATCCTGGTATCTATGATGAGTTTATTTAAGCCATATTCAAATTGAAAAAAATAAAAAAAGTGGAGATTTATTTCTGTCTTGAAGGGCCAATCCATTTCAATGATTACATTTTTGTATTTGTTTTGTATATGACTCTAATCATCCTTTAGATCAAATTGATGTGATCAGATATTATAATAATTTGACTTTACTTACACAATTTTGAAAATCTTTTTCTTTACAATCTTTAAATTGACAGTTTACATAGACATAATCGTAAAAGCATACCCTATTATACGTTTATAATCTGACAAACTAATAAAACAAAAAATTACAAATTAGTTGTGATACAAACCTTCCTTAATACATGAGGCTCCTCATGGGGGTGTCCAAGTAATCACATTATCACAAATTTTTTGCCAATATAATCACAGAATCATTAATAATTTTTTTAAATAAGATAATCAAATAATCAAAAATACAGTCCTAGGTTATCAAATAATCAAATAATCATGAAATAGTTGGTCTGGTAATCAAATAATCACTATAAAAACGGCCAAGTAATCACATAATTTAAAACCCCATGAGGAGGCTCATACATAATAAAGGATGCACCAAATTGATAATTTTACCATGACAAGGAGCTAAAACAAGAGGCCCTCAAGAGCCTGAATCGCTCACCTGTATTTCAGAGGAGAAGATTTTTAAATGTTAGCAAACTTGATGAGCAAATTGTGTAAAATTGTCTTTAAAGGGCAAAACTCCTTAAGGGGTCAATTGACAATTTTGGTCATATTATCTTTTTTGTAGATCTTACTTTGCTGAACATTATTGCTGCTTACAGTTTATATATATCTATAATAATATTCAAAATAATAACAAAAAACTGCAAAATTTTGTTAAAACTACCAATTCGGTGGCAGCAACCCAACAATGGGTTGTTCGATTCGTCTGAAAATTTCAGGGCCGATAGATTTTGACAAATTAAACAATTTTACCACTGTCACATTTGCTCTAAAAGCTTTAGTTTTTGAGATATAAGCCAAAAACTGCATTTGACACCTATGTTCTATTTTTAGCCATGGCGGCCATGTTTGTCGATGGATCAAAACTTCGGATACAATTTATAAACTAGATACTAAAAGTAATATATATTACAGAATTTTACCCCCATTAAAAAACAACTGGTCGATACCATCATGACCATTTTTATTTCTACTTAAGATTAAAGAAAAATGCTATTAACAAACAATAAAGCAACAAACATACTGAATCCCAAATTACCAATATCTTAATTTTGTAATAATCAGTGGCAAAAAGGGCAAAAAAAACCAGATAATATAAAAACAAATATTCTTGAAACAAGTCAAATTAAAAAGTAGAATTAAAATCATATTATACAATTAAAAAAAAAACCATTCCTTTTGACATTCACATTGATTGATCTTTAAATGCTTCATCATTTCTTCTAGCATTTCCATTACTCTTCTTTCAACAAGTAGGTTACTGTGAACAACTATAAATTAATTGATGAATTTGTTTTTCAAACTTCCCTAAATATAACAAGAGTGCACATGCTGAAATGTCTCGCCTTCTTTACTAAACATTGATTTTATGTTGATAGTCCTAAATATAAAGCTTTACTACAAGTAACACATAAACTTAACATGATCCAAGAAAATGAGGTCAAGGTCAGATAAACCAAACGAGAAATACAAGTACACCTTACAATCATTCTATAAACCAAACATAGTTGACCTATTGCTTATAGTTTCTAAGAAACAGTCTTAACCAAGAAAACTTAACATTGACCAATGAACCATGAAAATGAGGTCAAGGTCAGATGAACCTTGCCAGACAGACATGTACACTTTACAATCAATGTATGCCTTAAATATAGTTGACCTATTGCTTATAGTATCTAAGAAACAAACTTAACCATGAAAACTAAACATTAACCAATGAACCATGAAAATGAGGTCAAGGTCAGATGATACTTGCCAGACAGACATATACACCTTACAATCCTTCCATACAACAAATATAGTTGGTCTATTGCTTCTAGTTGAAGAAAAAAAAGACCAAAACACAACAAGAGTGCACACGCTGAAATGTCTCGCCTTCTTTACTAATCATTGATATTATGTTGATAGTCCTAAATATAAAGCTTTATTACAACTGTCACATAAACTTAACATTAACCAAGTAAACTAAACATTGACCAATGAACCATGAAAATGAGGTCAAGGTCAGATGAACCATGCTAGGCAGGCATGTACAGCTAACAATTCTTCCATACAACAAATATAGTTGACCTATTGCTTATAGTTTAAGAAAAACAGACGAAAACACAAAAACTTAACACTGAGCAATGAACCTTGAAAATGAGGTCATGGTCAAATAAAACCTGCGTGACTGACATATAGATCATAAAATATTTCCATACACCAAATATAGTTGAACTATTGCATATAGTATTAGAAAAAAAGACCAAAACTCAAAAACTTAACTTTGACCACTGAACCATGAAAATGAGGTCAAGGTAAGATGACACCTGCCAGCTAGACATGTACACCTTACAATCATTCCATACACCAAATATAGCTGACCTATTGCATGCAGTATTAGAAAGAAAGACCAAAACTCAAAAACTTAACTTTGACCACTGAACCATGAAAATGAGGTCAAGGTTAGATGACACCTGCCAGCTAGACATGTACATCTTACAATCATTCCATACACCAAATATAGTAGACCTATTGCATACAGTATAAGAAAAACAGACCAAAACACAAAAACTTAACTATAACCACTGAACCATGAAAATGAGGTCAAGGTCAGATGACACCTGCCAGTTGGACATGTACACCTTACAGTCCTTCCATACACCGAATATACTAGACCTATTGCTTATAGTATCTGAGATATGGACTTGACCACGAAAACTTAACCTTGTTCACTGATCCATGAAATGAGGTCGAGGTCAAGTGAAAACTGTCTGACGGGCATGAGGACCTTGCAAGGTACGCACATACCAAATATAGTTATCCTATTACTTATAATAAGAGAGAATTTAACATTACAAAAAATCTGAACTTTTTTTTCAAGTAGTCACTGAACCATGAAAATGAGGTCAAGGACATTGGACATGTGACTGACGGAAACTTCGTAATATGAGGCATCCATATACAAAGTATGAAGCATCCAGGTCTTCCATCTTCTAAAATATAAAGCTTTTAAGAAGTTAGCTAACGCCGCCGCCGCCGCCGCCGGATCGCTATCCCTATGTCGAGCTTTCTGCGACAAAAGTCGCAGGCTCGACAAAAACTGAACACTGAGAAATGAATCATGAAAATGAGATCAAGGTCAAATAAAACCTACAAGACTGACATGTACATCATAAAATATTTCCATACACCAAATATAGTTGACCTAATGCATATAGTATTAGAAAAAAAGACCAAAACTCAAAAACTTAACTTTGACCACTGAACCATGAAAATAAGGTCAAGGTCAGATGACACCTACCAGTTGGACATGTACACCTGACAATCATTCCATATACCAAATATAGTAGACCTACTGCTTATAGTATCTGATATATGGACTTGACCACGAAAACTTAACCTTGTTCACCGATCCATGAAATGAGGTCGAGGTCAAATGAAAATTGTCTGACGGGCATGAGGACCTTGCAAGGTACGCACATACTAAATATAGTTATCCTATGACTCATAATAAGAAAGAAATTAACATTACAAAAAAAGTTGACTTTTTTTTCAAGTAGTTACTGAACCATGAAAATGAGGTCACGGACAATGGACATATGACAGACGGAAACTTTATAACATAAGGCATCTATATACAAAGTATGAAGCATCCAGGTCTTCTAGCTTCTAAAATATAAAGCTTTTAAGAAGTTAGCTAACGCCACCGCCGCCAGATCACTATTCCTATGTTGAGCTTTCTGCAACAAGTCGCAGGCTCGATAAAAATAATGTTTATAAATATTGTGAAAAAAATTTTAAACAAGGATTTTCTCTTTTACATGTATCAAAGTAAACATTTTCTGAACATAAATTGTTGTGAAGTCAACTGAAAAGGGCCAAAAAACAGCAAAATTAAGTTGGTTTAAATATAATTCAATATCTTAGTTTAAGACTGATATGAATTTTGTATCAATGACCAATCTACAGTGGACAGTCTACTTATACTTCACCAGTTGTAATGTCTGAAATTTTAACCTAATATATGTAAACTTTGCCTTAAAAATTAAGGTAATAGTGATGCAGATTAGATTTAACTTCCAGTAAATTCAGAAATTATTGCGTGCATTTATTATTGCAATTTTGACAAAAAATGCAAGATTAATTATTGCGATTTCAGAAAAATCGGCATCAGATATCATAATGCCATTTCTTATATATATATTGTTGAGATACTCACCCAGTCGCATTATTCGCATACATAAAAACCTCTCAATAATTTCTGAACTTATAGTATCAAAATAAAAGTAAATCATGTCTTGTAATATGGCTTCAATACATCATGAATCTTGCTTTTAAACTGGTTATTTTTTGCTATTCCTAGGTCTTTCAGTCTCTGACAACTAAGCTGAGAATTAAATGGTCTAGAGGCTCCAGGTGAAGGCTTTTTGTCTGGTTGAATATGATCTGAAGGAAGACTGAAAACTTCCGCCATTACTAAAGCCATGTCATATTTAGTCATATTTTCATCACCACTCCAATGATATGTCCCTTTTATACTTTTATCCTGAAGGAAAAACAAATATTCAAATTAATCTAAAAAAGTAAATATTAAATTAATTACAATACCATTTTCAATTGGGTTATAAATGTTCTTTATAACTATGTTTTGAAGTAAAAACAATGTTGCAAGTGAAAACATGGTAAATTTTATTTCTGATATGAATATAAGGAGGTATGGTTTCATTGCCTATGAGCCATCTATCCAAATCAAATGAACTTATGTAGCATAACTAAAAGTTATTGTATTGCCCTCAGCAATGTTTAAACCCATACAATATAATCAGCTATATTTAAGAGGCACTGGCATGAAAACATGTGTTCATATCAAATGACAACATGAGTTCATCTTACATGACATATGTGTCTGGTATGACCTTTATTGGTGATATGCTCCTGACAAATGTTTAGAATGTCTACCAAAAAAAAAACATTTAAGAGTATAGAACCCACAAATAACCTGAATAGAAATGCTTCAAAAATTGCAAATTTTTAATTGGAAGACAATAACATAACACGTTTGTCCCTCAATTACATAATTATCATTACTTTAATTAAAGAAAATACTCGTACAATGAAAGTACCATAATTTGTAATATCTAACATTTAGAAAAATTCCCATAATTGATGCAATGTTATGTCTTGCTAAACAATGTTGCCCAATACACAAAATTTTTCCCTATTTCACCTGTCTATAGTGGATAGACAATCAATGTCTTCTCAAATGTATACCTTTTATCTAAATTTATAGAAATGTAAATACAAATTGTACTGGGAATTAAGACATTCAACTTTAAAAACAATATTCATGGACGTATAAAACTTGCAAACCTTGTTTATGGACTACACTGTGGAAAATGTAACCACTATGTCTATGTAGGAGAAACAGAAAGATCACTCAACGACAGAATAAAAGAACACATAGCAGATATTAGACATAACAGAGAAAAAGCAGTAGCTGAACACTATAATCAGAAGGCCTATTGTAAAGAGGACATGACAGTTCAAGTACTTCAACAAATTTAAAAAAAATCAGTCAATTATAGAATATATATTGAAACACAGTGGATGCAAAAACAAAATACAATTAGGCCATTTGGGATCAACATTAAAAAAGTATGACTTCAATTCATCTAACTTCATATACTTTGATTAACTCATGTTATTGTGACGTCAAATTATTGGGACGTCATCACATTACCAAGGAACTAAATCTATAACATCTTAATGATTGTGAAAGTAAAATGTCTACCATGTAGTTAAGAAGGAAAATAAAGAAACTGAAGGAGGCCAGTGGCAGAAACGTCTTAAATAATGGTTTATTACTACAATAAAAACAAGTTTTTCTATTAAAATTGTCCAAAAAGAGTGCAGAAGTTGGAACTTCTGGCAACCATGTTTTGCCACCAGTTCCCCTGTGTACTGGAATAAAAAGCAAAATCCTTCTCATCTGTAGTGTATATTATTTGTGAACCAGTCAAAACACCAAGAATAACATCAGTGCAATGATTTATTGAAAAATATAACATTTTATAAAAACTGTGCAAGAAACAACGCCACTGTGAATTGTAATCCACCTCCAGTTGTAAATTTCCCATTGTTGAAGCCATTTCCCTTCCTGGAGAAGAATTTTCAGTATGTGAATCCATTCCCACTGGTTTATCACTTTGGTTGTTTTCATTGTCTTTTCAAGGTATTCTTCTAACTGTTTCGCCCTTTTATAAATCTCAGTATCTGGTTCACTGTACAGATAGCAGTTCTGGTAGAGAAGTTGCATGTCACCACTAAATTCATCTACTGACTTGTATAGACCACATTCCAAATTATTCTAGAAAAAAAAACATAGTCAAAGAATTAATGATCAAATGATGATGATGATAAAAAGCTATATAACATGCAGCGGAAAATTAAATGCATATATATATATTCAGAACCAGAACATGATAATGTGAAATGAATATCAACCCTGATTTGTACTTGTTTTACAAGAGGAGCAGAATTTTTAACGAGGTAATTTCACAAGGTTACAGTCCACAGGAAGACATGTCATCTTATTCGGACACATTATTCTGACACGAAGCTAGCCTGTCTCTGCTTTTAACGGCTTATGCTGAGTGTTTGGCAGAGAACCGGCAATTACACTTTTTTCAAGTATTTGGTTTGACCCAGCAGAGGATTGACCTACATCCTCCTACACTCAAGACACACTACCAAGAGACCACTGAGGCAGTCAAATGATTAAAAAACAAAAAACACCACAAGACACTCTCAATTTGCCTTAATATCAATATTGGGTCTCAAATTTCAAAAATATGAGAAATTATAAATAATTAAATTAAAAAGAGATGTGTATTCTGAAATCCAGAGTATCATAAAGTATATACAACTATCAAAACTGAGTTTGTCAGCTTGACCATGCATTTAATATCCTTGTTTATTAATTATATATATATATATATATATATATATATATATATTGAAAAAGTAATATGTATTACCATAAGCTAATCAGGGTGTAGGTAACCATGGTAACACAATTATGACTTATTTACATCTAATATGGCCAATTTGTTTCTGTTTTTACAATATCTTTTTATGAATTTTTAGTACACATACCATAATCAAACATGTCAAGTAATTTTTCTAAGTTAAAATGAAATATGTTTTACAAAGCCTCATAACTTTTTATTTCCCCTCTGTTCATATTAAAGCACTTCCCTTTGTTTATTACTCTCTCCTTTATTGTACTGAGATCCATTGGTTTCTTGACTATCTCAAAGTAATCATAGAGGCCTAAGGCTATAGGGTCTATTGGTTGGTAGAATGGCCACATATAACTCTAAAATATACAATAAAATGTGTAATTTACCATGTGCTTGATGCTAACAAAATAATATACAGATTAAACAAAACAAAATTGAAAAAGTTAAAATCTGATCACTTTTTTCTGCTAAAACATTGTTCAGTGTAAACATTGTAAAAAAATAACTGTGTGTTGAATTGCTTTAGTTTACAGTCTTTTTTTTATCAAATACAAAAAAATTCATATGATGCATTATATTGGTGCTTTTTTTTTGCTCCGATTGGCATTTCATTTGCGCCAAAAAATTCTCTCATTTGCGCCACAAACCATATTTCATTTGCGCTAAACAGAAAAAAATTCATTAGCACCAATGATACAGGTAAATAGTATAAAAAAATGTTTTATTCAAAAGAGACTTTTAATAATAACTTTAAAACACAGTTTTTGATAGCACAATAAAACTATTAATCTGAAACCAGTCATCATAACCATAATGAAAGCTCTATACACTGATACATTATTGAAAAGAGATTTTTCATATTAATAACGCTAAAACACAGTTCTGTAATAAATAAACGTGATCGTAAATCCTAAAAGAAAGCACTATGTACAGGAACACTGGAGTAAAACCAAAACTTGTAAGCAAAATTAAAAATATGGAACAATTCAATTGAGAAAACTGTCTGTTTGTCTCAGAATTAACAATGTCCATCTTGACACCTCAAACATATGAACACTATATAAATTTAAACCTAAGTGACTCTCTGTTTTATATTAGAAATGAGTATGAACTCACTTTGTTACCCATGGGGAATACTCTGAAAAAAATCTTATTCACGATATAGCAATGCATATTTTAACTTTTCCGTTATATGTAACTTGTAAAATGGCACAAATGTCGTTCTAATTTTTTTGGCGCAAATGAAATGTAACCTTGCAGCGCAAATGTATGATTGAATTTTGTAAAAATTGGTGCAAATGCAATGCACCCCATAATATACATTATTGTTGATATATTTCATATTTATATTTAACATTTAACAATAAAATATTAGCTCTTTTTTACAGTAATTCATTCATTATGCAAAATTAATACATTCTTTACAAGTACAATGTATTTAAATTAACTTTAAATTCAAATATTACCTGATGTTTTTCACTCAACAAGTCATCTACCAACTTCATACAGTTTTCAAAATCTACATCTTGTATTTTGAGTTCACGCTTCTGATTCTAAAATAAACGTTTTTTGCTTCATAAGTCCTATGAATTCCTGCTCCTGAGAAAGTGCACCCTTTACCAGTGTGCTATTCAGTCCGTTGATGTTTCCAAAACCATGACTGTATTTTGACAGATTCAAAGAGGCTCGAATAAAGTACAATCCTCATTTCAAACTTTGATTTTGGCACTGATAGTTTGATACCAACTGTGATGTGTGCACTATAGTAGTGTGACAGAATACAGTGTTCAATCTCCATTTGTTAGGCCCCTCATTGGGGTGTCCAAGTAATCACATAATCACAAATTATTTGCCAATGTAATCACATAATCATTAATTACTTTTTTAAGATAATCAAATAATCAAAAATACAGTCCTGGATTATCAAATAATCAAATATCCATGAAATATTTGGTCTGGTAATCAAATAATCACTATAAAAACGGCCAAGTAATCACATAATCAAAAACCCCACGAGGAGGCTCAATTGTCGTAGAGGTACTTATATTTTGATAAGATGTACAGCCCTCAACCTCCAATTGTGATTGGTGTACTAACAAATTAAAATAATACAGCCCTCAACCTTCAATATGATACTGGTACTAATAGTTTGATATGGTAGATACGGCCCTCAATTAGAATGAATATTTGCGGCTTTTAAAGTACAGCCCTCTACCTCCAACTATGATACTTATATATAGTGCAGTCCTCAGTATCCGTCTTTGATTGTGGCACTGAGGGAGTACGGCTCTTTGTCTCCAACAGGCATAGTGATACAAACAGTTTGATAGTATACAGTCCTTAATCTCCATCTTTTTATGTGAAATTAATATTGTGACATGAAATAGTCATCTTACTAAATTTGTGATGCTGGTACTAATAGTTTAATAGATTTCAGCAGTCCTCAAAACTTAGAGAAAAGCCCTCCACCTCCAGCCGTGAATCTGGAGTAACAGTTTGATAAGGTAACCCCCTCCAATCATGATTGTTGCATTAAAATTTTGATGGTGTACATCCTTCCACCTCAATCTGTGATCGTGATACTGACACCTCAAAAAGCTGCAGCTTACCACCTCTAACTGTGATAGTGGTACTGATACTTTGAAAAGCTACAGCGTCTCACCTCCAAATGTGATAGCGGCAATGATACTTTGAAAAGCTACAGCTTCCAACCTCCAGCTTTGAAAGTGACACTGACACTTTGAAAAGCTATAGCTTCCCACCTCTAACTGTGAAAGTGACACTGACACTTTGAAAAGCTATAGCTTCCCACCTCTAACTGTGAAAGTGACACTGATACTTTGAAAAGCTGCAGCCTGTCACCTCCAGCTGTGAAATTGACACTGACACTTTAAAAAGCTACAGCTTCCCACCTTCAACTGGGATAGTTACATTGATACTTTAAAAAGCTGCAGCTTGTCACCTCCAGCTGTGCTAGTGGAATTGATACTTTTAAAAGCTGCAGCTTGCCACCTAATAAGCTCCAACTATTATAGTGACGCTGACACTTTGAAAAGTTCCAGCTTGCCCCCTCCAGCTGTGATAGTGACTTTGATATTTTGAAAAGCTGCAGCTTACCACCTTAGATGATCCAACTGTGATAGTGACACTGACACTTTGAAAAGCTGCAGCTTGCCAGCTCCAGCTTTGATAGTGATACTGACACTTTGAAAAGATGCAGCTTTCCATCTCAGGTTATGAAAGCGACACAGACTCTTTGAAAAGCTGCAGCTTGGCACCTACAGCTGTGATAGTGACACTGCCACATAAAAAGGCAGCAGTTTACCACCCCCAGCTGACAATTTTAAAAGCGGCAGCTTGGCACCGCTAACTGTAATAGCTTGATAGGTTCCAATCATCCATAACCACTTATAATTTTGACTTCCCCTTTGCTATCTTCATATTTTCCCCCTAAACTCTGATAGTGTCACTTATAATTCAATGTGTAATGATATTAGATATTGTTTTCAAACAAAAACTTTCACTTTTTTCACAAGTATTTTCAAATAACATAATGATGGCTCCCTTAATTTATAGCATCACATGCATACTACATTCTACTATCAAATCTCTTTAGGTTGCACTTTGTAAATACAGCTGTTTCACAAGCCACGCCTCTTTCGGGGAGATATATACTATTCATAGATATGTTAATTTGTTAACGTACTGGTTCCCAGATATGATCTCTGTGTTTCATCTCATAGAGACATAACTTGGGAATGTTACCAGTATAGAAAAACATGGTAACGCCTAAAATTTAATTCTTAGAAGGTCCAAAATTAAACTCTTAGAAGTTCTGGGCATATAAATGTTGAAAATATGCCGCACAGCCCTATATTTTGACCTTTGAATAAAAAAGTAGAGCATATCAACTTTCTGTTCTGGGATATAATTTTTCATGAAACTTCACCGTAAAAGTGGCGCAGTTTTAGCTGCAAAAGGAGTTCCTATGGGAAATGCATTGTCTATATTTACAGAATGGCAACATTGAGATATCACTATGGTTAAAGATATAACACCAATATGGAACCATGGCACTATAACACCAATATGGAACCATGGCACTATAACCCCTGGAAAGAACACTGCAATGACACAGATAAAAAATGTCCAACTCATTTAGCTATGGAATATGACTATTAACATGATTAACTGATCAAACTTTTATATCTCACTTCAATTTCAAGTAAAAATCTCAGTAAAACCACTGAATTCAGTAAAAAAAAACTATTTGGAGGATATCAAATATTTGTAAAACATTTTGTTAGGAAACTAATAAAACTATACCATTGCAACTGAAACAACCATGATTTTGTTCACAGGTGTTTGGGGAATGAACCCCTCTCCTCCCCTTTTTTAAATTCATTTAAAGTAAAATTTCTCAAATTCTTGAGTATTTCAACTTATTTTCCCTCTTTCACTTATTCTAGCAAATATCTTCACGATTAAAAAAATATATATGAATGGCCCTTTCTTTTATTACATTGTAATAAAAACTTTTTTTTTAAATCCTTAAGATTATTGCAAGAATACAATAAAATCCTAAAGCGACTGTGATAAACTATCTATCTTTTCCAGAGCATAAAAGCACTATAATTCTTCAATAAAAGCAGTCTGTACTGCATTAAAACCATCACTTCGCAATCAAAAACTTCTGTAGGATTAAACACATTTTTTCTAGAGGTTGTTGATGTGTTACCTTGGCCCATTAACTCACAAACCATTTTGCAAACTGAATAAACCTCTACAAAAAGTGTGTTTTATCTTTAAAATTCTCAACTAAACATTTTTTTTATATTTTCTGCCAATTTCAAATTTATTATCATACATATACTGTATATAACAGAGTGACATCATCATAGCTTCTACATTGGTTACAGTAGTAGATCCAGCAACATGCTCTATCAAAGTCTAAACCAAGGAACTCATTCTAACCGACAAATCACATTCAAGTATTAGTCGGTATACAAATCAAATGATTAAACAAACACAAAAATACTTGTTTTGATGCCCTAATTAATCTTATACCTTTATTTAATAAATTACTTAGAATTTATAAAACATCAGAGGCGACAATAAAGTGAATATGCTTGACTTCATCAAAAGATATACTCAAACCATAATTTAAAGTCCTGTGAAATTTGCAGCCAGGTACACTGTATTTAAAATTTACATTGCAAATTTAATTTGAAAGTAAGATGGACAGAGTTGCTTTTGTATATAATTGATTAACTATTGCAGGAACTGTTTTCATGAAGAATCTTACAATCAACAGCTGGTTTGTATTTACACGAGTAACATAACAGGTGCCAAATGTGGAGCTGGATCTGTTCTGGAGTACCTGAGAACACCCCTAGCTTTTGGTGGGGTTCGTGTTGCTCAGTCTTTAGTTTTCTATGTTGTGTTTTGTGTTTGTTTTTTTGGTGGTCTTTTTTTCTTTTTTAGCCATGGCATTGTTAGTTAGTTTTCGACTTATGAATGTCCCTTTGGTATCTTTAGCCTCTTTTTTACAAGAAAATACTGAACACTTCCATGATTTCCGGACAACTTGGTCAATTTAATTTAAATATTTTTTGGTAAAAAAGCTGCAGATGTATTATTACATAAGAAACATTTAATGGTATTTTTAAACGCAATGTAAGATTTCAAGAACTTACTGTGATCCTTCTCTCTGCTAACTGTCTTATCACATATGCTATGTCATCACAATGAGTTGGAAAACGTCGTTCATAATCTGACATAGGACACGGTTTAGATGAGTCTGTGACCTTCTGAAATAGTGTAGATACAGCACTCTCATCCAAGTACTCAATGTCTCCATACAGAATTGGCACTCTTAATATTGAATTATCTACAAACAAAACACAATGATATACTGTAAATTCTGAAATTATTGCATGCATTTATTACTACGATTTATTAAAAATGGACAAAAATGCGAGATTAATTATTGCAATGTTAAAAAATCTGCATACAAATATATGTATCAGATATCAGAATGCGACTTTTTATTATTGCGATACATTTGTAAGTCACATTATTCGCATTAACAAAAACCTCACAATAATTTTTAAATTTACAGTTGATTCTTTCCCATCGATACACAAGTCAGAGTTACTTCCCTTTGCCCAATCTTCTATAAAATCAAAATCAACTTCAAATATATACTGACTACTAGATTTCAGAAAAAAAGTTTTTTCCTGAATGATTTTTATTTGTTTAAGCCTCATCTTATTCAATACTACTATCTATTAAGGATCTTCTATTGGTCCAACTTGGCTGTACCACATGTTTAAAGATGTTTGCTACTCTTGTTTTTGACTTTTTGTCAGATATTCTGAATCCTCTAGTTTTATCCATGTAGTGCCAATAAAAATTTTGCCCACTGACCCATACTTTTCTTTTCAGAATTTTATTGTATATAGTTTTAAGTCATTTTTGAAAATCTTATAAAATCCTTGTTATTTTTTCATAGTTTTTGAAAGGAAAAAGGTGTCAATGTTAAATGTATGAAAAATCTAGAGAGAACTATTTTCCGCCAAATTTTCTATTGATTATATCTCAAAAACTAGAACACAGACCTATTATTTTTTTCTAATTTTTAAGTTCCCTTATTCATATTCTATCAATCTTTAACAGTCTTTTAAACACCTTGTTATTTTGAAACAGAGGAGCGAAATCCTATGATTGGTAAGTGATTAAGAAAATCAACCAGTTGGCCTTCCAAGATTGATCCAAGGGAAATAACTCCAACTTCTATTACATCAATGAAAAACTTTCAAAGGGATCATTGCACTAACATATGTATGGTAGAATAATATTTTACATTTGTTACTGCAATAATCCTATAGATAGTTTTCAATGATGAAATAGTGGTTGGACTTATTTTCCTTGGACATGTTGGATGCCATCTTTGAGGGTCAACTGGTTGATTTTCTTTTATGAATATTAAACCAATTTTCAACATGTGGTTCTTTACTTCAGTCTAATCAAATTTAAACAAATGAATTGACAGTCTTTTTAAACTACATTTCTAAGCTATTTTTGCAATTATCAATCTATACCAATTTTTGTTGATACTATCTTCTTTTTTTTTTTAAATCATATTCATATCTACTTAAATTAAGATGGAACCCAATTCCATGTAAGAAACAGCTATCTTTCACAATTTTATGAAAGCTTCAAATAAGATATTAACATTAATATTGAAAAATTAGATGTCTACCTTGACTAACCTCCATTGTGACCTTTTCACCTTCAAATTTACTTTGTCCATATTTGTTAAGTGGATTTGGGGTAGCATCCTCGGCATATGGAGGTGATGATCCTTCAAACACGTAATCTGTACTGATATATAATACCCAAGCACCAACAGCAGCTAAAAAAAGTAAATAAATGTGTTATCAATAAATACCATACCAAATCAGCTAGCGCTAGAAATTTAACTTAATGATTTTTAATAATTACCAACTGAAAACCTGATAAAATGGTAAATACTGTAGCTGTGCTATTTGTGCAGTCAAATTGCATGGACCGTTTAATCATTTGTGAAATACTGTCAATGATATATATCCCCTTGTTTATGACATTGACAATGCCTTTCTGTTGTGTTTTATTTAAGACGTCATTAAAACTACAGGTTTGCAGAATTTTTACATCGTTTGCTCCAAATTAAAAAAATGATGGTTTTTACCCTAAATATTTGATTTGGAACAGTTGTAGGAAATGCAGTATATAAAGAATAAATGGGGAATGTGTCCATGGGACACAGATGATGCCCCCGTTTGCATATAACATTATAAAGGGACACAACTGAAGTGTTAAAGTGACGCTACCAAAATTTGTTACTTTATCTGAGTTTAGTGGTAATAAGCATTGTGTATACGTTTCATAACATTCAGTTTGAGGCACTCTTAAGTTAGAGAACAGAAACAAATATTTCAGCAATTTTTCCATTTGTAAATGGGGATAACTCTAGAACGATAAAAGTGATGCCATCAAAATTCAAACAGGATCTGTGTTTTGTAGTAATGATCACTGTGTATAAGTTTCATAACATTTAATTGAGGCAAACTGAAGTTAGAGAACAGAAACCAATTTTGGGACGTACGGACGGACGGACGGACGGACGGACGGATGGAAGGACGTACAGACGGACAAGGGTAAAACATAATAACTATAAATTGTCTTGAAATATAAATTTTATTTGTGCTCAAAACAGGATAGAAATGCTCAGCAAAGTCTCCCTTTCTACCTGTTTCTAAGCCTAGGCCTTGTACACATAAAATTTATATTTGGAGACAATGTATGAATTGTATAATTCTATATTTAAATCCTTAGTAAAGATACATATCAAATCAATCTGCTAAGAAAGAAATTTAGGCATTGAATGATTTATTTCCCTTTGATGGTATAACAGATTGCTGTATAAGCCATGCACTACTTTTTGTTACTTGCGTAATTTAAATTTTATTTTTCTAAATAAGCATGATACATGTTAGTCATGGTAATACACTTACACATCATTTTTTATATTTATATTTGAGTATATATTATAAATATACTGCTTACATCCTGTATGTATCTGTCCCAAGTCAAGAGCCTGTAATACACTGGTATTCATTTGTAAGTGTATATCACATATGTATTTATTTTTTTGTGTATATCAATCAGGTCGTTTGTTTTCTTATTAGAATTGTCGCACGTTTTGTTGTGTTGGGACCTTTTATAGGTTGCTATGTAGCATGAATTTTGCTCATTGCTGAAGGCCATACCGTGACCCATAGTTGCTAACATCTACGTCATTTGGTTTGGGTGGATAGTTGTTTCATTGGCAATCATACCACATTTCCTTAATTTATATAGACATAAATAGAAACAAACTCAAAAGATTACTTAAATATAGCTAACCAGCTAGTAACTTTATGGATTCTATCCATTGTAATTTGTGCAATTTTTACCCTAAAAAACTATGGCTAAGTATCTAAGGGATAGAGATTACCTATTCATGGATAATGAAACAGAGGCTTTATAATGCTGGTCAGGGAATTTCTTATATTAAAGGAACATAGCCCATGAAAATAACTGCCAAACTTAATAGGTGTCAAGAGTAGCAACAAAATTTATATAGAACATAAGCATTGGATTTATCAAACATTCTTATAATGCATTTGCAATTGCTGATGACACATGTTTTAGTTGTCTCATGCTGTCAAGATACATGTCTCTTTTACAAATGTTAATTATGTTCCATATATATCCTATTGACTTTTTAATATCAAAAAGCCTATGAGCACTGAAGTGTAAAGATAGCATTTATTTTGCAGTGGGAACTAAAAATTAAGCATTACATTGTACTAAGCATTGGAATGCAATAATATGAATTGGACAAAGGAAGATAACTCAAATTTTAAATATAACTTTAACAACGACATGCTTGATATATTTAGACAAGATAATAGATCCATGCATCATGCACAATTTACTTTCAGACTCAGTAGGAATAGTAAGTTTTATGTGAACATGAAAAATACCTGCATTCTGACAGACTACTTTGGTTGCTGATACATTCAGCTCTTGTGTTGCTTCTGGTTTCTGTTCAACAGCATCTGGCTTCCTCTCAGCAGCAGAATGTATAACTACTGATGGCTGTAATAATATATGAATTTACATGTACATTACAGCATTAGTACAAAAATAAGGAGATGTGACATGGTTGCCAATGAGACAACTATCCACCAGAGACCAAATAATGTGAATATATAGTACACTATAAGGGCTCTGGTACTACAACATGTGGAACAATTCAAAAGAGAAAAAAAAAACAGCCTGATATATATGCTAAGAACAATAAAAAAAAATAGCAGACTGTGAGCAACCAACCCCAAATACTGACAAACATGCTCCTAGCTTGGGACAGGCACAGAAAGAAGGGGTTAAACATGTTTATAAGTCTATAACTCTCTAAATAAAATCAGATGTGATTGGCTTGATTTGTCAGATTGGTACAAACAAAAATAAACAACTTGCATCAAGACAAAAGACATCAGTTCTGCACTAAGCACACAAAACGATTCAACAACAAGACAAAACAACATCATACCATTTATATGGCTGCAAAGTTTTGCATTCGTATGAAAACACAATGGCTACCCATCTTAAAACACTCGCAGATATTACAATATATTCAGTATATCCTGTATATATTTACATATGTTTTCTACTCATTAGTTGGGTTGTTATCTCTTTGACACATTCCCCGTTTCCATTCTCTATTCTGACAAATATATATTATATTTTTTTGCTTACTCCAAAATACCAGAATCATGATCATATCTAATACAATAATTTCAAATTTCCCTACCACATGTACTATGCAGACCCTTAATATTCGATACAAATTTTCAAAAAGTTTATTAAGTATATGATGATTATTATTTTGTACCTTAATTAGGCCGTAAGTTTTCTCGTTTGAATTATTTTACATTAATTTTGTCATTTTAGGGCCTTTTATAGCTGACTAAACGGTATGGGATTTGCTCATTGTTGAAGGCCGTACAGTGACCTATAGTTGTTAATTTCTGTGTCATTTGGTCTCTTTGGGAGAGTTGTCTCATTGGCAATCATACCACATCTTCTTATTCTTATGATTAGAACTTTTAAAGCAATCATTCCAAAAATTGCAGGTCATCAACACTTACATTAAACTCTTTCATCACAGTTTTCACTTCATCATCTTTAGTTATGTCACATTTCCTTAATTTTCCTGTACATCTACTGAACGCCAGGCCCAAAACGTCCCATGATCCTTCATTCACAAATTCCTTGTATACAGCTCGGCCTAATAATCCTGATGCTCCAGTGATTAAAACTTTTTTAGACATTACCTGAAAAGAACAAACAATATTTTTTGAAGTTATGAATTAGATATATATTTTAATATTCAGAATTAATTGTGTTCATCTTTTTAACAATGATTATACTGAGTTTAAAATCATCGTTGAAAATTCTATCAACTTACTTCATTGTACTTGGCATTCTAATGTTATGACTGAATGACTTTTTTATCCATGATAAATAGGTTAAATGCTTATGATGTTCCATAGAGCTCAAACTTGCAATGGTATTTACAATCCCTTTGTAAAACTTTTCACTTGTAACAGAATGACTTCTAAGCATGCTAGGTAAAAAAACCTCGTAAACTTTTACAATTTTTCAAAATTGGAATTGAAACTTACAATAAATTTGCCCTCTATCTGTCTACAACTGCTGCTAATATTCAAGTGGGACTCACTGATTTGTAAAAAAAATTGGCTAATATGTACAAAAATGTTGAAACATTTTTACTAATCCCCTGCCCTGAATATATGTACTTATAAGACAGATGATGGAATTATTAACAGGATGTCATTATCAAATAATCCAGACAAACACTGATAAGATTAATACTTCTGATTTTATAAGAAGTATATACAACATACAATACAATGTAACTAATTTTTTTTCTGAGTATACGAAATAAAGTATACCCAGCATCTTCTGGAAAGATGTTTTTCAAATGTGCAAGACATGTCACTTTTCAAAAGTTTTCTTTTTTTCAAATTATACATGTCATTGGACAATTATCATTTTTAAGGATATTATCAGTGTATGAGGATTGGGTATACAGAAAAAAATTGCAAAAGAAATGGGTACCAAAAATAAAGAATATTAGAGTAAAATGGGCCGAAAATATTAAAAGTAAAGAATAATGGGATGCTTAAATATAAAGAATAGAGAAACATTGGCACAATGTATAAAGAAAAGAGGAAAATATGCAAAATAAAAAAAGAATAGAGAAAAATGGCTTAACAAATTAAAGAATAAAGAAAATGAAGGACCCCTCATCCAAACCTTCCTGTATAGAATGAAATGAAGCACTGAAATGCAAAATAATCACGATAATAGTCAGAATGATTTCCATAATACATATAGTAAGTTTGTAATAACAACTACATGACTAACATGACTAAGATAAGTTATGGATTCATCATTTTGTGTTGCCATTGTATCATTCATCCATTTATTCATGGATTTTGCCTGTAAAGGCAAATTTAGGTAGATCGGGTATCTTTTTTCTGAGCAACCCTTCAACCCTTGTGTTGCAAAATTATTTTTCTGTTTTTAAAATATTTTACTAAGTATCATTCAATAGACAACAACAACATGTTTTACTTGAAATTTAGGAATTAATCTATCAAAAAAATTAATTTCGTTAAGTGTATGAAAAAATTTTCAGAAAAAGCAATGGGAGAATTTGATCAGACAATTTGCGTTTTTTTTAAAATTTTTCCAGAAAATAAGGTCGGTGACCAGGTGACCCTCTATTTCTATTTGGAATTTTGGAAGTATTTATGAAAAGCAATTCCCTCATTGAGATTTAACCAATTCTATTGTGTAATGTTTCCTCAATATGGAAAAATCAAGTTTCCCCTATATAATTAATAACCCATATAAAATAACTGTGATTTTGTTGATTTCAATGCATTTCAACCAAAAAACAAGGTCTGTGACCCCCAAATTTTATTGAAATTTGAGAGTACAATGACCCAATAGTCTTCTAAAGAAGTTTTAGAAAAATCTATAGTCAAACATTCAGACCCCTATGGCCAGCTACCTTAACTACATTTGTACCAATTTAAGTGTTTATCGATTTAAGAATTTTCTATCGTATACATAGATTAGTATGGTAACCATGGTAACTTTGGCAATACCACAAATCAGATACCTTGCTACAAAAATACAACTTTTCTTCAATCTGTGAAAATTGGTACCCATGATAATAAATAAATTCACAGTAACTATTCTACATATTGATAAACAACAAAAACACCTTTTAATTCTTATAATTCCCACCAACATATATGCCTAAAAGAAAGAAAAAAAAACATACAAGTTTTTGGAATTATAATAAGGTTTAATCCAGTAGGTTTTAAAAAATCACAAAGAGTGTAAATAAATACATCTAGAAAACTGAAATGTCTGTAAGGATCTGTCCCTGTTTGTCCATTTTTGTGTTAGATAGTCAGCAACCCAAGGACACAAATAACCAAAAGTTCACAAGAGATATCTAGAGGTCAAAATATGGTCATCATAATTTTGCTGTTTGTTGTGTTCCTGTGACTCAGATGTATGAACAAATGTGTACATTGGAACATTAATCATTATAAGAAAAAAAAATATCAGAACCATACAAGTGAATTTCATCAATGTAAATATAGTGCAGAAGTTTTCCATGCAATCCCTATTGATTTGCACCTCCCATTTATACACCAAAAAAAGAAAACCATGTCACAGTTCACGATTCTGCCTTGTTAAAAGGTCACCAAAAAGTCTCCTACTTTTTTTTTACCTATGTTATAAATTTCTATCTTAGTAATGATTTATTGTTAAACTGACACATTTACACAATAGAATATTTCAGAAATTAAAAAGTAATTCAAATCTAATAAATAACTTATAAAAAACATTTATCTGTACATAAAATATTTTCTATTACTAACCAACATGTAAGCTGCAAAAATCCTTAACTGACCCCTAACAGTAATAAAATAAAAGTTTTGTAGACTTATAACCTTGATTTGTGTTCACGAAATAATAAAAAGATGACAATTTTATCTATAATCAATAATCAATACAATTGAGGGCAGATTTAATTTTGTGTTAGTTCAGATATATTACATGTATTAATCATGTTAATAATTACAATGATTGAATGAATCATATAAATCTGTAGCTATATATATATATGTCATGCATGTCATGTACATGTATGAAATAAAAAAAAATTACTGATTTAAAAGCTATACTTGTGTTATTATATAATAAAGATTTGACAATTAGATTGTTTATCAATAATCTTTTTCATTGTAAAGGGCGTATTGAATAGTTGGTGACCTTATTGACAGTCAATGTATATTTAGAATTTGATCAACACACAAGCTGTTGCACAAAATTATTGACATAAAAATGTTAACTGCAAGATGAACCTTTCAGTACTTTCAAAGATTTTATTGATCATTTCTTGAGTTTGTTAAAGGCATATTTTGTTACAGGCCGACTTTGGTATGGGCCGAGTTATCAAGGAGTCCGAACTAAGACCAAAGTGACTAAACTTCTATACCATGTATACCCCAGTAACTCTTGACAGTTTGGGTGTTAGTGATGGCACCTATGTCATAAGATAAACACTTATCAATTGAAATAAATGCAGCTTTATATCCGTTTGATCAGTAAATCAAACACTAAATACAAAATCTTATAAACAAGTTGTTTACATTTGTAACTTCTGTCTACATGATCATACATGGGAGATAACCGAGATAGGGTGTGAATATGAACCACAAAACTGTTTTGTTTTTTCAGCGTGAGAAGTACCCTATTGACAGTGAGTCTCTTTAATAAAAAGAAAACTGAAATAAACTTAATTATTGCCGTATTTACACCAACGTTTCACTTTGAATACAGACAAACTTTTGAACCTGATACGTTTTCAAGCATGGCCTCGCCTTGATCTATATTATTCAACTTTTTAAAGAGGGGCTAATGGGGCCTGGGGTTCTCATCATGGCTCACAAGATTTTAAATTTACTGATCACAGTTCACGGGAAATAAATTTTCGTGATCACAGTTCACAACAAATTCGATAATCATTAAGCACGTTGTTCACTCATTTTCTGGAAGTTTTAGTGCATTTACTATATTTCAAATAAGTGTGGATATCACCATACTATAGTTAACTATAACTATATATAATACGAGTCTATGATGGAAAGCCAGAGTAGCAGCCAGTTGGGAAAGAACATTCCTATGGAAGTGTTAAAATATTTGGTGAAAATGACATTCGGTAATTTTGTGGTCAGTCTTTTAATCTGATAAAGTGGAGTGTACTCCGAGTACATTTGGCATATTTGAACTTGTGTACCAAAACAAGACTCGCGAATTGGAGATATTTTTTTTATCTTACAACAAATCATTTCAATTTGACTATGCTCAAGTCTCATTATTTCAGTTTATTACTTTATTTTATTATTTACTATCGAAGTGTGATATCCTATCCACATCCATATACCTTAATAACAAATCTTTGATGCGTTTCCCGATAAAGCAATTGACACCAACACAACTCCCGGAGACCAAGCTAATACACAGTAATAACTTGCATTTCATAGTTATTATAACAAAAGCTTCAAGGTGCAAGCAGACTTACCAAAAACTGATAGAAAGACAATACTTTGCATTTTATTCGCAATGTTTAAAAGTATGTGTAGACAAAAGAAAACAAATACATAATAAATATAACTAGAAATTGACTAACACAGTTGCTACCGATAAATTTCGTTTCAATTAGGTGCAAAATCATCAGCATTTTATTATCAACTGCTTTCCTTTTATAAATTCATATAGATCAACTGGTTAGTACAGTTTATTCGTCATTTCAAGGCATAAGTAGCGTACGTATCGAACTAGAACTATTTTTATCATATCTACGTATATATGTTCAAATGAATACATAAATGTTCTCAAAATATTAACCACTTTTCAAGTTGAATAATGGCAGGAAATTTCCTAGGTTTTAAATATTTATGAATTAAAGGAGATGGATAGCTGGTAAACTTTGATTACACCGCAAGTCAATAATACAGCTGTGGATCCACTAAAAAGACCATATCAGCTGACTTATAGAATCGAAAAATATTCTTGGTCTTAAACCTCTATTCTTTAAAGTTTAAATGAATTTCTGATAATGTTTGTGTGTTTTGTAAAATCAATAAGTCCCTCATATATATAGGCTACTAGAAATTTTTCACACACAAAATAAATAATTTTGCTATGGGGAGGATATAGACAGATAAAATTTTGTCAGCTTTTATTGTGTTGATTTATTTGACCTCCGACATATTCATATTACTAAAAACTACCGCAAAAGAATAGTGATTTCCAATTAGAGGATGTATATATGTTTCCATAGTCGTGAACTCGCGAAAGGTATTAAGTATAAAAAAAAGAAGACGTGGTATGATTGCAAATGAGACAACTCTCCACAAGAGACCAAAATGACACACAAATTAACAACTATAGGTCACCGTACGACCTTCAACAATGAGCAAAGCCCATACCGCATAGTCAGCTATAAAAGGCCCCAAAAAGACAATGTAAAACAATTCAAACGAGAAAACTAACGGTCTCATTTATGTACAAAAAAAGAACGAAAAACAAAAAGGTAACACATTTAAACAAACGACAACCACTGAATTACAAGCTCCTGACTTGGGACAGGCACATACATACATAATGTGGCGGGGTTAAACATGTTAGCGGGATCCCAACACTCCCCCTAACCTAGGACAGTGGTATAACAGTACAACATAAGAAAGAACTATAAAAATCAGTTGAAAAAGGCTTAACTCATCAGATGGACAAAAATACAAGTAGACGTGGCCGGGTACTTGTACATCCCAACAACAGTAGTTTGTCTATTGCATTTTTTGAAAATTGTTTAAAAGGATATAAAGAAAAAATGTTTTTATTCTATTTATTATTATTCAGTTTAACGAGGCTTCTGTCTTTGTTGCCGCAACGTAAGATACGTCAGATACGTCTAGACTTACATCTAGAAATTGACAATGAGGGTCGGTTGAAAACAAAACTTTAGTACAAAAGAGATGATTTCAGCTTCCAAATTGTGAGCTTTCCATTTCTATGTAACAACATTCCAGCAGCGCCTGCAAACGGAGTATATACGATATTCCAGAGCTTGTATTTCTTATCATGATTTCTTGATCATAGAGATATTGCTGCTCACAAGGAAGCTATTACACCAATAATTCCAAATGGTGAAGTTGAAATCACCCCTTCGTAAATTTCGCGGACGCCATCACAAGTTGGTTGACCGTTACGGAATATCTGTTTCACAGATGATATCGAATATGTTCCTAATGTCGTAACTACAATCCCATTACCTTTCCACGAATGAGACCTACAGAATAAGAATATTTAGCGGGTTTGGAATAACATGAGCAACACGACGGTAGCCACACGTGGAACAAGATCCATCCGGAGCACCCAGTTTTTGGTGGGGTTCGTGTTGCTTAATTTGTCTTTAGTTTTCTATGTTGTGTCTTGTGTACTATTATTTGACTGTTTGTCTTTTTTCATTTTTAGCCATTGCGTTGTCAGTTTATTTTCGATCTACGAGTTTGAATGTCTCTCTGATATCTTTCGCCCCTTTTCTACGCCAATACTTAGTCTCACTTCTTTCATTAATTAAATAGAAACAAGCTGGGAGTCAAAAAAGGTCCCATAAATCCATGTTCATTTTTTGCAACATAGGAGTTAGAATCATACTGTGAAACCTGATCAAACTGCCAGGAACCAGCTCCACGCTACTTAGTTTTAGCAACTGGCTTCTGTTCATTTCTTCAAATAGTACCAGTCCTTTGTAAATAGAGTTTAGATACGACAACTTTTAATATAGATTAGGATGATCACAAATTTATTCACGAAAAACGACGATTTTAAAACACCTCTATCACGGAGAACGTATATAAAATTTCATTTTTACTCAAAACTCGCGTGTCCTACGTTTTTTTCAAATTTCATCCTAGCCTCCCCCCTCCCTCCCGCCCCATAAAAATCAAATGGTAGCTCCGTTATACGTCCTTGAAAAAATTCAACTGGATTTTGCTATTTATTTATTTTTTTATTCCTGCCTGTAGAATAGCCAAAATAAACTATGTTGAGAATTTAAATGATGCGGATCCAGGATTTTGAAAGGGGAGGCAAAACTAGACAACGTTTGGAGCTAGTGTGACATGTAAAAAGTATATGCATTAACCATAATTTTATTATCTTATAATGTAGCCCCATGAGGAGCCCTCTTTTTACACCATAATCCGCCTCTAGGAAAGCGGTTTGAGAAGCCTCCTTCATATACATGTTCTTGTTGATGTGAACTGGTTTAGTTTCTACCGGCAATAGAGGGACACTATTTTATCTGGACAACAACATTTGATTTAAACTGTAAACGAGTGCATGGACCGTATCCAATGAAACTCAGTTGTATGTTTATTTTGCTATCTTCTTTTTTTTTTTTTTTTTCTGACGGAAAAAACATTGTAAAATGCATATAACTTTTATTTGTATAGGTCCAGCCATGCCTGATTACTTTCCTAGCTGCTTCGTTTTGTCTGTACTCAGAGTAACCACAGCCATATTTGTTAAAATAGTTAACAAGATATGAAAAGAAGTGTTGTTTTTGCGGAGATAGGAAAATGTTCAATTCACAATTTTATAAGTAATGAGTGTTTGTCCATCAATCTGGTAACCATTGGGATTTCTTTTTTTTTTTGTCTGTGTAGTCATTCTTAGGATTTTTATTTAATAGGTTTTTCCTAATAACTCGTGCAAATGGATAAGACTGTTAAAAGAAATGTGCTAGTAAATAAAGTAAATAATTCGAATTTAGAGCATATATGTACACTTTTATAACAATAAATTTGAATAAGAAGCCATATTTCAGTA